AGCTAGCACAGAGTCTGCACATGATGAAGAAACACTGCAGGCCACTGCACCCCCTTTGCTGATGAATGACCTTAAACTCCTTTAAAAACTCCTGGGCCAGGCAGAAACCTCAGAGTTGGCTTTTGGACAGGAGTCCACCTTCTCCCCAGGTTGCCAGTCTCCTGAATGAAATTCAAATTCCTTTCCAATCGAAACTCATCTCTTCTATGATGATCTTTCAGGTGACAGGCAGCCAGACTTGGGTTCAGTAACAATGCTGACTTAATCTTAGACTTTCCAGCCTCTGGAACTGTGAGCGATCATTTTTTTGTTTGCAACCTATCTAGTCTACAGTATTTTGCTATAGCAGCCCAAGTGGACTAAAGATTTGGACAGTGAGTGGGTTTGGAATTAGAGCACATCACAGAAAACCAGAGAACCCCAAAGACCAGATAGCACTGACTGTCCATCTTGTGATGCCAGATGGCTGGGATCAGTTTCCTCCCAAGCCAGCCATTCTCCCAGTTCTTTGTATCATGCTTCCATCTCAAGACCTACACCATGTGTTTCTCAGTACCAGGTGACAATTAGAAATTGAGATGATTTTATTATTTAAGCAGTTTAGCTTCTTTTGTCTTCAATTCTCCATTCCAGACTATGCTCTGGGATTTGCCTTTCATAACCAAAAAGGCCACTAAAGTATTTTCCTAAACCACAGTCACAAAACACTTGTTTCCTAAGTTAAAACTTAGGCATCCCCCCCCAACCTCCATATTTTGGCTATTGTACAACAATGCTGCTGTCAACCTAGGGTTGTATGTATCTTTTTGAATTAGATATACACACCGCTATGTTTATTGCAGCACTATTTATAGTAACGAAGCTATGGAAGCAGTCCAAATGCCCATGGGTAGATGAATAAAGAAGATGTGTTATGTATATACAACAGAAAATTACTCAGTCATGAAAAGGAATGAAATCTTGCAACTTGCAACTACATGGGTGGAACTAGAGGGTGTAATGCTAAGTGCAATAAACCAGGCAGAGAAAAACAAATACCATATTATTTCACTCATATGTGGAACTTAAGCAAAATAAACAAAGAGGAAAAGAGACAAGCAAAAAAACTGACTCTTAAATATAGGGAACAAACTGGTGGTTGCCAGAGGGGAGGTGAGTGGGGAATTGGTGAAATAGGCAATGGAGAGTAAGAGTACACTTATCATGATGAGCCCTGAATAATGTACAGAATTGTTGAATCATAGGGCACTTGGATGGCTCAGTTGGTTAAGTGTCTGACTCTTGGTGTCAGCTCAGGTCTTGATCTTGGGGTCATGAGTTTGGGCCCCACATTGGGTTCCACACTGGACAAGAAGCCTACTTAAAAAAATAATTGTTGAATTGTTACATTATACAATGAAACTAATATAATGCTGTATGTTAATTATACTGCAATTAAAAAGAAAAATAGGGGCGCCTGGGTGGCTCAGTCGGTTAAGTGTCTGCCTTCAGCTCAGGTCATGATCTCAGGATCCTGGGATCGAGTCCCACATCCAGCTTCCTGCTCAGCGGGGAGTCTGCTTCTCCCTCTACCTCTGTCCCTCTGCCTCCCCCTGCCTGTGTGCTCTCTCTCTCTATGTCAAATAAAAAAATAAATAAAATCTTAAAAAAAAAAGAAATTTTAAAAAACGAGTGCCTCCCAGTGCAAATCAAAACCACAGTGATATATGACTTTAAAACTACTAGGATGGGGGTACCTAGGTGATTCAGTCAGCTGGGTTTTGGACTCTTGATTTCAGCTTGGGTCATGATCTCAGTGTTGTAGGATCAAGCCCCATATTGGGTGTAGAGATTACTTAAATAAACAAAACTTTTTAAAAAAGAAATATATATAATGGAATATTATTAGGCCACACAAAGGAATGAAATTTTGAAATATTTGATCATATGAATGGACTTTGAGAACATTATGCTTAGTGAAATGAGCCAGACACAGAAGGACAAATATTAGAGGATTCTATTTACATTAAGTACCCAGGTTAAGTTCCTAGGGACAGAAAGTAGAATAGAGTAACTGAGGGAGGGGAGAAGGGAGAGTTATTGTCTAATGCGTAGAGCGTTTTAGTGGAAGATGATGAATAAGTTTTGGATCTAGATAACAGTAATGGTAATTATACAACATTATTAATGTACTTGATACCACCTAATTGTACATTTGTGAATGGTAAAAATGATAACTAATATGTTATGTATATTTAATCACAATATTAATTAGTTGATTGATTGATTAGCAACTCCCAAAATTTTGTCATTTTTGCTTTTGTTGATGCTTTTAGAAGAAAGAATTATAGATGGAAATGTATTACCTGAAATGTAGGGACTTAGATATCACAGATAAATACTACAGTCTGTGATCATGCGTGTATTCACTATGCAAGCATTTACTGAGCACCTACTATGTGCAAAGCACACACCATGTTAGGAATTTGGGGAAGAAGGGTACAAAAACAAATGAATTTCAAATTGTGCTCTGAAGGTAGAATTGTCAGATATAGCAGAAAATAAAAGCACAGCATTGCTCATTTACGTTTGAATTTCAGATAAGCAACAAGTATAATATCCCATGCAATATTAGGAATGCCCTTTAACTAATTGTTATTCATTGTTTATGTGAAATTAAAATTAAATGAATGCCCTGCACCCCCGATGGAAGAAATTTATAGTCCAGTTAGAGAAATAAGACATTCACAAGTCACCAGAATACAAAGTACAATGAGCCGAGCATCAAAAGGTCAAGGGCTGTGAGAACTTGGAGGTAGAAAATATTATATTTAATTGTAAATGGTCTGCTACTTTAGTAGACGTATAGTACATATGGTGTACAAATATATGTAGGCTACTAAGTGGAGAAAATGGGCTATTTTCAATACTTTTCTTGTTTTTCTTCCTCCCCTCGCCTTTCTGCTCACTCCACATCCACGCAACAGATATTTGAGAAAACTTTTCCTGTTCCCGGGACTTTTCCCGGCACCAGGGGCAGAGTGGTGAACCAGACAGACATTGTCTTGCCTTCATAGAGTTCACAGTTTGGTAGGGAAGACAGGTAACAACCGGGAAACGTCAAAGAACAGAATCACTTGAGATAGTAATGACAACCATAGGAGAAGGTAGACTGAGTGTGGAGGCTGTGTTGGGGGCTCCGGAAAGGGCTCTCTGAGGAACAGACCCTTGGGCGGAGGCCTCGCTGCTATATAGCTGCCTGTCATGCACACGGCATAGGGAAAAGCCTTTCAGCAAAGGGAACAGTAAAAATCCTGAAGCAGAAACAAAAACTGAGGTCCAAGTGCCAGGGACGTAATTACACACGGTACGTTCTCATTAAACAATCACCTTTTTTTTTCTTTTTTTTTTCCTAGTCCTTTTATTGAAGGGTGTATGCATTTAAACTGAAATAGTTAAATGATAGGCAGCCAAAGAAAGAAAATAAAGCTAGGCATTGCAATAATCCACAAACTATTTGTTAGACTACAGTGATTTTTAGGGTCCATTTTAAGCCCACTTTTCTAAGACATATTTTCCATAATAATAACAGAATAATCCAGAATAACAGAATAAACTCAATCAATTATAACATATCATGTCATTTACATGCATTTATTTGGGATGAAGAGAGATTGCAATTCAGGACCTGCAAGCTATGGCAAAACCATAGACAAGTTCAACAAACAAAGGAGAGGGACTTATTTTATGACAAAGAAGGAGGAAGTTGGTGGGGGGGTGTTTTGAAGGAAAGTCCATCACAGAAAAGCAAGAATTCAGCGTGATGACAGTTTCTCACTGTCTGGGCTGCAGGGGTAGTCACTTTGTTGTAGGAGATTTTAGAAAAGGATGTCCTGGTAAGGGTTTCCTGAGAAGGTGGCATTTGTCAAATGGTACTACAGTGTCTATTTTGTAAGGACCTACTTAGCAAGAGGCTTTCATTAAAGTTTCTGGGACATGGGTTCTCAGTCTCAAGGGTATACAGACACTCAGATTCAGAGGCCCTTTGTAAGGACCTATTTAGAAACTGTCCCTGCTCCCCTTCCCCCAGGGGATTCACTTAAAACAAGTCCCGGAAACCAGCTCCAGGTAACAAAGCCCAGATACAAGTGTGGGTCAGGCCAGGTGGAGACATCCGATCAGTGGGGGGATGCATACTGTCTCCCTGGTTACCAAGGAGTATGGGCCCCGCCCTTTGAGAGCCTTTTGGGTGCCAATCCTAACCAAGGTGTGATAGGCTAAATCAAATGTCTACTAGGGTAAATTGTAACTCAATTGGTCACCTAGCATCACTGTGGAGTTTCCTGTGTGTGTTACAATCCATTGGTCACCTGTGCGTGGCCAGGCCCGACCGCATGGCCTTTGCCCTTAGCCCTTAAAAGCTAGACTGTGAAACAGAGAAGGGTCACCCTCTCTTGTAAAGGTGCGGCCCCAAACGTTCCGTTAGATTCTTGATGCTTGGCACGAAATAAAGCTTTGCTTGACCTTCGCTTTGTATCAGTCTCGCTCCTTTAATCACAGACCCATTATTGGGACATAACAAATTTCTTGGGCCTTTAGCGAAGATCTAATAAGAAAATACATGGATTCATTAAAAAACCTTCAATAGACCCAAAACGGACCCAAAAGCCCTCTACGGAAAGAGGCTCGCCCCGCGCCCACAAAAAGGGGAACGTTGGTCAAGGCGGAATGGTGATGGAGAGGGATGTTGCCCCAGACTGAACGGTGATCCCTCTAAAAAATGGCCCGGGCGAACTAAAAACGTTTGCCAAAGAGGGACGTCAATCCCGGAGGAACCTCGCAGGACCTAGCATCACTCTGCCCGGGATTATGGTTACCCTGGCAACGACGGGGGGGGGGGAGGGGCGGGATGGGAGGGGGGCTGGGCGGGGGCAGCGCCGGAAGGAGCTCCTCCGAACGGAAGCGGGGCTTTCGGTGGGAGTGACCTCTCCACCCCAGCGGCCTGGAAAAGATGGCGCATCTTGTGTGCTGGTGGCTCTGCTTCGGCCTGGGCAGCCTTCTGGCGGGGCAGGCGGAGGCCCCGAGCCCCATGGAGCCGCCGGAGCGGAGCCGGCCATACGCCGTGCTGCGTGGGCAGAACCTGGGTGAGCGGCTACCGCCGAATGGCGGCCGGCAGAGGGGACATGGGAGGGAGGGCTTTGCAGCTGCGGCTGTGCTCAGCGCGTCACACTCCGCGCCAGGCTTGTACCAGATAGGCTCTCCTTGTGTGCTGGTTGCATGAATGAGCTCGTTGTTGAGCCCCATCTTTGGCTGCGTGGGCCCAGGCAAGGCAACAAGGGTGTCTTAATGAGAATGCTTAGGAGTGCAGCCCCGTTTTCCGGATGAAGAGGAAACTCAGGTGAAGTTATTTGCCCACGTTTACACAGTTAGGATAGCGGTGGCAAACAGTACTGGTACCCCCCACCACACACACACAGCCTGCTTTTCGAATGAGTATGTTTTCGCTAACCTAAAGAAATCCGAAGGGGATTTTTCCCTTTTACGAAAAAAGGCAAAAAAGTGAAAAGAGAGCTCACCAGGTCTTCTGCAGTGCACACCCCCAGCAGCGAGAGTGACAGCACCAAACTCCGATCCCGAAACAGCGAGAGTGACAGCACCAAACTCTGATCCCGGAACTACACTCAGCCTCTTAGCATCATGCTGTTACAGCTTTGAAATGTGTCTGAGTATCTGTGCGTGTTCTCGATTTATTTTGTGTATCCCTTAGCTAAATGTGTCTTAAGGTATCAGAAAAGCCCAAGGTTATTTTTGGAGTCTGGGAGGCTCAGTTTTTTCCATTTAAATTAATGGCAGCTTTTTTTGCTTTATGCCATTTCTGCTTATGAAAGTTTTCATGGATGGGGCACCTGGGTGGCTCAGTGGGTTAAAGCCTCTGCCTTCAGCTCAGGTCATGATCCCAGGGTCCTGGGATCGAGCCCCACATTGGCCTCTCTGCTCAGCAGGGAGCCTGCTTCCTCCTCTCTCTCTCTGCCTGCCTCTCTGCCTACTTGTGATTTCTGTCTGTCAAATAAATAAATAAAATCTTTAAAAAAAAAAAAGTTTTCATGGGCACAGGACTTTCACAGAACGTAGGAAACTAGCAATGGAACCTAGGTTTTGTGAAGACACCTATTTACACACACAAGTATATATGGTGTACATGGGTTTGGAAGGGGTCCTGGAGCTTAAAGCTTCGCAAAATTCCCAATAACTCTTCCTCTTCTGCCAAAGCCCTTCCTTTCCTCTATTCCTCAGTGATATATCTGAATCTCTGTGCCACATAGTAGTATCATTTTTGGATTATCTTGAGACTCATTTACGTTTGAATTGAATGTCTGTGTTGACCACTTACTGTGTACCTAGAACTCTGCTGCTTAATCCTTTGGAGCAGGAGAGTTTCTCCACAGTGGTACTATGACATCGTGGACCAGATGGTTCTTTGCAGGGGAATAAGATACACTGTCCTGAGCACTGTAAGATGTTAAGGGCATCTCCAGCCTTCACCCGCTAGATGCCAGTAGCACACCTGACTCCCAGTCTGAATAATCAGAATATCTCCAAAGAGTACCAGCTGTCCACTGGGGGCAAATCGCCCTGGCTGAGAACCACTGCTGAACAATAATACTATTCAAAGAGTGGTCTGCTGGCCAATGCGGTTTCCAAATTATTTATCTGCAAAGAGAGGACTACAGAAATTTAGTGTTGTTGTTGTTGTTTTTTAAGATTTTATTCATTTATTTGACAGAGATGACAAGCAGGCAGAGAGGCAGACGGGGGGAGGGGGGGGGACGGGGGTGGAGCAGGCTCCCTGCTGAACAGAGAACCCAATGCAGGGCTCTATCCCAGGACCCTGGGATCATGACCTGAGCCGAAGGCAGAGGCTTTAACCCACTGAGCCACCCAGGCGCCCCAGAAATTTAGTGTTTTTAACAAAATTAACAATTTGACACTGTCACCACATCCAAGCAAGTAGAGGCCAGACCTAGGTGTCCATGGACTGACCTGCTTCATAGATAGAGGGAGCTGCTTACTAGTCATGCACATAGTAATGGCCTGGGACTGGCCACAAGTTATAAAAACTAGTCCTTTACCACAGATAGTGTAGAAAACACTACCCTAGACAATCCTGTGCAGGGGGTATTTTTGTCTCCATCTTTACAGAGGAGAAAACAGAGAGATCGTGTAATTTATTTGAGAACACATAGCCTGTCAGTATAGATGGGAGCCCAGACGGTCTGACCCCACACCTTGAGTTCATGACCGCTGTGCCGTGTTGCCTGTTTTGGTCATCATAACGGCTTTCACCTACCGTCTGCATGTTCTATGTCTGCACTCTGTTCAGTGCTTTTCATAGGATACCACAGTTAGGTTTCAGGAAACCCTCTTGAGGTGGGTTTCACTTGCCACATTTTATAGATGTAGGAAATGAAGTTCGGCAATTGGAAGTGATCAATAAGGAAGGACCCAAGTAGTCTTAGGTTCTGCCTGAGCCTGCCATTCAGGCAACTAATACCATGGGTAAAGTGCGGGAGAGGACAAAGATGAAGAATGGGAGAATCTATAAATGGATAGCTATCCACACGGGCATTATGTACCTAACAGCCCATCATTTTAAACCTTTTCAAATGCTTTTTGAGATTCTATTCTCTACTTCCAGCCTCCTACTTTCTTGCTTTGGGAATTTGGTTGGGGGTTTTTTGGGGGGAAGGTGGAGGGGAGAAAGAGGGTTGTTTTGTTTTTCCTTTCAGAATGTCAAATGCAGGAGAATGGTTTAAATGGAATAAGGCAACTTGAGGTCCAATTACAGTGAGAACCTTAGAAATTCGTGGAATTCAAAACTTTGCAAATAAGGGCAGGTATTTAGATTACAAGGCCTGTTTTGAGATAGGACATTTAGCTTATATGAGTTGTAGGTTGTCTGTATCACCTACATTCTTTCTTCCCCTTCCTCACCAAAAAAAAGTATTTTCTGTATGGTCAGTATTTAAATAACTGGGTTCCATATGGGGGCATTTTTTAGGGGTCACAAATACCCCAGATTACTGATTTAAATAAAACTTTGGTCAAATCTTGTTTTTTCAGTAGGCACACTAGAGAACAGCCATGGTTAGTCTCCCAGTGGAACCTGGGATGGGCCCACATACTTACAAACAAATGTACACTTTCTTGGTAAAGGTAACATATTGAACTCTTGTTAGACCTCTTGTTAGACCTCTGAATCCCATAGTCACACAAATGGGATTGCCCTTCCCTTCCATGGGTTGCTGGTTACGTTAAAGCCTCAGTCCTTAGGTCTAGTCCTCTACCGGGGCTCAACCTAGTTGTAGGTTCCATTTCTCACTTGAGCACCCTGGAGATTTTAGACCTGAAATTTACTCTCTGAAATGGAATAGGTTTGTGAAGTTCATTGCTTCTTGGATCCGAAGACCTTTGTCTCTTCTAGAGATTAAAATGCTTTATTCTTTTTTTCATCTCCAGTTTTTATGAATGGCTTTAAAAACGTTGGGTTCCCTGCTTCTGTTCTTGTCACCTATAATCGGGTGGTTCTCCATGCAGCCAGAAGGATCTGGTTTCCCACATGAATCACATCATTTCACTCTTTGCCTTTGGTCCTCCCTTTAAACTTACAGTAAACCCATGTTGGCATCGTGGTCTACGAGGCCCTGCATGAACTGGCTGCATCCTTCCTCTCTGGCTTCATTTCCTGCCTCGCTTCCTCCCCCCTCAGCCATGCTCGCCTCTTTCTATTCATTGGCTTTCTAGGCTTGTCTGGCCCCAAGCGCTTGCTTTTGCTGACCCTTGGGGCCACAGTGCTATCCCTGCAGATCTTCACGGGGCTGGCTCCTTCCTCTCATCACGGTCCCAGCTTGTGTGTCACCTCCTCAAATGCTTTCCCCACTGCCCTACCTACCCTAACCCCTCCTGACCGCTCTACCCCTATCATTGTCACATTTCTTCAGGCCCTGTGAGCTGCTCTTACTTGTTTACATTTTCTCCCCCACCTAATTGGAAACATCCTTAGAGAGAATCTGTTGGTGTCTGTTTCCCACACACCTGGCACAGTGCCTGGCACTGAGTGGCATTTGGCAAATTATTGGCAAAAAGTGGATGAATGACAACATGGAGCTGCCATTAGGAGGTAACCTGTTTTCCTTTTGCAGTGTTGATGGGAACCATTTTCAGCATCCTGCTAGTGACCGTGATCCTTATGGCATTTTGTGTCTACAAGCCCATTCGCCGTCGGTGACAGCTGAGCGACCAAGTTCTTCCACAAGTATTGGGGGAAAGTATAAATTGTGTTGCACATGGGTCATTGGAGAAGTTGGAATTAGAACTTCACCACTTGGAAATGACCTTCAGTCTGGACAGTTGGTAAATGTGAAATGATTTAGAAAAAACGTCCATCTGGCAGTTATTTTTTTCCTAACACTATAATGTAAATAACTGACTCTGCTTCTTGGTGTTTCTTTGTATATCTGGCTGCACTTAACGCTTGTTACAAGAAAGACCTGAAGCTACAAGTTTCAGTATAAAGATGGGAAAACAGCTAACTATGTTAGTGGTGGGAAAACCACACTGGAAAGGACTCATCCCGAATATTGGAAAATACTCATAAGTGGAAGACTTGACGTGTAGACATTTCGTACTTGAGAACCATTTGGTCACAGTGGGGTTAAGAGTCACCCGTGTTTTTAGTTAGATTGAGCTGGCCTGGAATGCCCTGGTTGCAAAGCAGTGTCAGTTGTGGGGAACTTAGGCCATTGGTCCTCGTGCCACATCTGGGTCTGCACCCAGATGCCCCTGATGAAGTCAGGCCACATTAGCTAGGCCTGTGACCATGAGCACCCTGGGGCTGGAAGGCTCTGAGTTGGGCTGATTACTGGTTGGCCCATCTGAAAAAGAGCTCCATCCTGCTTAAATACACCGAGCTCCCTGGGGCTGCGCTCAAGCCTTTCCAGCCCCTGGCCTAAAGCTTGTGGCAGCTTTTCAGATTTGGAATCTAAAAGAAACTCAGCAGGAGCTCTTTTTAGCTGTGGGTGGGGAGGTCCTCAACCCACAAAAGTGTGTGTTCATAGTAGGAGGCTGAGAGGCAGGTGAATGTGTGTTTACACAGATTTCATCTCAACCTTGAAAATGCTGCTGTTTTGCACTGTTGAAATGGATTTTTTTTTCCTGTTGAAATACTTTCATACTTACAAAGTGGTTAACAGTATTTATTTTAAAGGTGCTACGCTTAATTTTCTTTGTTACTGAACTGAAATGCTTGTCTTGTATTCCAGTCACCTCACTGATGTGTGTTGTTTTTTGTTGTTTTTTTTTTAACAACCCGCACTAAATGTGAAATAACTAACGTAGGATACTGTGACTGTCGGACATCAGGATTTTGTGTGTAACCCTAACATTGAGCCACTGAAATGTTCACTGTTTTGTGGTTTTGAGCAAAGTGTCAATTAAAATTAAAGTAAAATCTTACATGCTTATTGACTCCTATTGATTTATTTTCTAAGCGTCTAAAATGCAGGTGTGTGTTTGCATCTGCTCTACTCAGGAAGTGCCGTGAAGTTGCATTTTAAAATTTATATATGTGAAGTAAGACAGTTGCCCCAAGGCAAGGTGTTATTTCTGGAGACTGAGCTGTAAGTAATCTCTCAGGCCAGGCCAGGGGTCTGAAGCTGGATTTATGTCCCCACTTCTTCAGAGCCTCGGTTTTTCACCTGCAAAGTGGAGCTATACACACCTTATCTTTCTTAATTATGGTGAAGATCAAACACTGTGAAACCAGTGGTGACAAGGGTGGGGTCACCACCTTTGGCCTGTCCCATAAAAAACCAGGGTTACTGACGGACTGCAGGGAGGAGCAGGTGGGATTCTTGAGCGGCTGGCACTGACAGCTAAGTCCCAGGAGGGCACATCCCCACCTCATCTGGAATGCCATATTTTGATACGCTGCCTAAAAATTTACTGGCATTTTTAGGACTTGAGAGGGAAACAGTGAAAACTTGGTAGGCCCATAAACCAACCTTGTAACCTGCCGTTTGCCCAGTGATAACTAGGCAGCTTACAATAGAATCACGTCCCAATTTTCAGAAACAACCTTGCAATAGTTATTCCATATACAAATCCCAAAACCCAGCCTATGTCTTCATTCCAACGTTACCATCTGTTCAGCATGAGATTTCAGTCTAAAGTCAGACACAGATTAATCTTTGTAGAAAGAGGCTTATTACACAGAGATGAATAAGGATACAAACCTCAATTCTGGGAGAGAGAGAGACAGAACTCTACTGAAAACTTTTATGCACCAGGACTGACCACTAATATTTTTGAAGTACCATAATTTCCTTTACCTGTGTCTCTGGGAATGCGAGGTTGGGGGGGAGGCATCCAAAGCCCCCTAAACTGAACTGTGCCCAGAATACCCACCATGTACCCAAATGAACGTATTCACTTCATTTATACCAACCATAAAAATGGCTTATCTTAGTATTAATCTTAACTTTGTTTAAATTTGAGATGAATAAATCTGTGAGTGCTGCTTGGGATTTGGGGGCTCTGGAAGTCTTACTAATACTACATTTTTTTTCAGCTGGACCCCAATCTGAATTCTACACTTTTCCAGATGTGGGCGTAGTTTGGACTTTGAACCCCAACACTTAGCTGCACTCAGATAGTCCTGGGAAGCAGCTGTCGTGCAACGTGCCTTCCTTGAGGTCTTCGGCATTTAGCAGGAAACCCCTGGTTACAGTAAGTCTGGCCATCTCTTCCAGGTCATTATTAAGAGCAGACCTCCCTTCCTTGAGAGGCCAACACCATGTTACGTATGGTGTGTTCAGCTTGCTCATGGAACAGAGTATCTCAAGTGCTTTGGCTCCGTTTCCTGCTGGTACTGCACCACCTAAGCTTTAATGAACCTAAAGGTGAAGAAACTGTTATTTTTTTTTTTAATTAGGTAATCCCCAGTTATTGCCTAAGCTATTGCCTCTTGGCCTAAGGCGAATGAGTTTTCTTCAAGTGTCCCACTGGCTCAGTATTGTCTACTTTCCCCCAATGCAAAGCAGCTCCTTCACATCTCCCTGGAAATACCAAGGCCGCATTTCTGGAGCCCAGATGTTTTTCTACTGGTCACTGCCTCCGTTTGTGTTTTTATGTGTCTTTTCAAGATTTTTTTTATTTGAGAGAGAAAGTGCAAGCAGGGCAGGGAGGAAGGAAGGGCAGAGGGAGAAGCAGACTCCCCACTAAGCAGGGAGTCCGATGTAGGGACTCGATCCCAAGCCCCGGAGATCATGACCTGGACTGAAGGTTTAACCGACTGAGCCCCAGGAACACACCCCCCATCCCCATTTTTTGTTTAATACCAAAGTAATTGGGTGTAGGATAAATCTGGAAGCCCTAATTATCACCTGAACTTCTAAGATCAGCCTCACAGAGCACTTCAGCCTCAGAGGGGAGAGCATCTTCAGTCCCATGAGCGATCTGAAGTTGGCACAGCTTCCCGGACTCCAGAGGAGCCAGGCCACCTCCAGCAGGACCACTGCAGTCTCTCCTAGCAGCCCCTGTGCTGGTGGGCTTTTCAGTTTCTATGTGAAATGAGCAGCATGGGGCATGTGGACTATATGACCCTGGTGGGGAGGCTGAGAGGAGCAGGTCACCTTGGTAATGGATGCCAGGTGGCACGACGCATTCTCCTGTTGGAGTCACATACGTAACAGGGAGTGTGGGGACATTCAGCGACTAGAGAAACCCCGTGAAAAGGAACAAAGACTCAAAGGCTGGCTAGGATACTGTCCGAGCACCCTCTCGGGAAGCAGTCTTTATTTGCATTTTAAGAGAGTGAACACATAAATGAGAAATGCTGCAACAGATGGACAGAACGCTCAGTCCCTTTTTAACCGACTTCCCGGGGAGTCCCCTTCCTCCGGAACCAGGACGGTGGAATGCAAACACAGAAATCATGGCTGGTTCACCTCAGGGAGTAAACGCTGTGGCCTGATGGATTCCCGAGAAGTGTCTTCACTCAGGGTGAACACGGAGTAAACAGAATGCCAAGCTGTGTGTTGGAAACAAACATGACCCCACGGTATACTGGCCAAGTGTGTGGGCACAACAGAAGGAATTCTGGTGGGACCGTGACTAAAAAGGCAGGTGGTTATGTGGAATCCAGAGCACAATCCTCTGTGACTAAGAACATTTTACTGGCAGCACTAACTGGAGGATACGGATGCTAACTGCAACGTAGTTTCTGTCTCTTCCCATCCTGAAAGCAGCACAGCAGACAGGAAAGAGGGAGCTGAGGAGGCCACTGTTACCAGGTCATGTCAGTCAGCCTGTGGGGACGACCAGATGGGCCAGAGTGAGGGCGCCCTCGGCTCTCCTCCCCGGGGTTCTTCTGTGTGGTGTGCAGTGCTTATTTACAGAAGGGTCAGATAAAATCGTTAAACTACTAAAGGTATCCAAAAAAGGCCTGAGAAAATCTGGTTAAAATGTATAACCTTGTATTGCTACTGATGGGAGTAGTTGTCTTTATATATTTTAAAAATAATAAAAAGATTCTGTTAAAAAATATATTTATCCAGAAAGATGTTGATTTGAACTCTAAAAGGCAATGCAGAATCCTCATTTTCCCTTTTGAATACAGAGCTTAATATTAAGTTCCGCTTGGAGCTCCCTTTCTAACTACAAGGCCACCCCTTCTTTAGTGAGCCTAGGCCTGTAGTGGGGTCTCCCTTGGCCTCTCTGTGGCAATCTGTCACTAGGGAAGGTGCGGAACACACCTAGTTTGGTTCTGTGCGGTCTGATGTTTTGGCCAGCCTGCCGCCTCCGAGAACAAGCCTCAGGCTCTCCTAGCTGTTCCTTTGGGGCCAGGATTAGCTGCCTTGGATTTAGCCTGGAGGATCCTGCTCTCAAAGGAAGTGCCTTTATAAATTCAAATCAGACCCCTCAGTGTGGAGTGAGGTGGTTTGAAACTATTGGTAATTTTTAAGGCTAAGGCAACATCCGTGGTCATTTATATATCCTAATGTGATGCAAATAGTTACGCCTAATCTAAAACGTATCCTGTACATGTCTCCTCTTTGACTCTAGCGGGGGTGGTTGGGATGGAATAAGGTGGAGATGGAGGAGGAGCAGTGAGTGTCCTAGAAACCCTGTATAAAGGTAAAAACAAAAGAATAGATCAGCACAGACTATCCATTTCTTTGGTGAACTGTAAAGAAGTGTCTCATAAATTCTCATAAACCACGCTCTAAAAAGGCTGCTGCTCTCATATATAAAAGCACCCTGACTCTGCGATAACTTGTTTTGTTATCACTCCTTGATAAAAATTAATCTACAAACTTGCGGGGACTGGGGTTTTTGTCTAAAGCTGGTAGTAAAAACGTGACCTGCAAGCCAATACATCTAATGGAAAGTGACGATGCTCTCCTCCCCTTAGCCCAGAGATGGGGCCTGCTGGTCCCCAGCCCCTCCCCGGGGGAGTGTCATGGATGGGCCTGGGAGTCCCTGGTCCGGCACCTCTGCAGAAGGAAGGGCAGCTGCTGTTGGCTGCATGCATGTGAGGTGCAGTCCCTCGGCCCCACGGCACTAGTGATGCAGCACTCGCGTGCGGCCCAGAACCTCTGCTTTGTGCAGCCTGTGAGCAGAAAGGTCTATTTCTCAGTGAGAGACAGCTGTAAGACTTGCTGGAGCTCCTCCTCCTCCTCCCGGAGCCGGAGCTCCCGCTCCTCCAGCTCTTTGGCAGAGAGCTCCATGGCCAGCTGCAGGTCGCTATCAAAACGGCTCGTCTCGCTCGAAGCCCCAGGGCGCAGGCCTTCTGAGCTGGTGAGGAGGCTCTCCTGGATGGCCCTGTGGGGGGAAAGAGGCGGAAAAAGGAAACCAATTACCAGTATCATCAGGGCTGCAGCAGCACCAACATTTAACTGCCTGCCGAGAACGCACCATACTGGGCACTTCATACGCGTCCCACGGGCAAGGTGCCATTCAGTCCCCTCTACGTCTGGAGGCAGGGTGCTGTGTACAGGTGAGCAACTGGGGCTCAGAGAGGTGAGCAGACCCGCCCAGGATCACCCAGCTGCTAAGGGATGGGGTCAGGAACTGAATTTGGATCTATTTTAAAGCAAAACCTAAGTTTTCTTTCAGTGGGCTTTCATATACGCCTGGAGTACATAAAAATACTCCATAAAATAAATCTTTCCAGTCTTTACCCTCTCCTTTGAAAAGGTAATCTACTCATCCCTGTATCTGTTCCCCAAAGCCTCCTCATTCTTAAAACTATCTACTTCCTGCTGAGGGCATCTAGACCCTGTGAGCATATACTCCTTGCAGAAGATTACACTGCTCAAAAAGCATTTACTGGGAGCTTTTCTGCCAATGGCACTGGCCTGTGGCTAGTCACCAACTGGATCAACACTAAGTCCCATGTCGGCCTCAGTTTAAGAGTCACGCCAGTCACCTCTCATACTGGGCGTCATAGGCATGTGTCTGGCCGATCCCTCCATTTGAAGCTGGTCCTGAAAGTTCCTGCGAAAAACAAACATGATGGACATGAATACCTCCTAGAAGGAGGAGGCATCATACTGATAAGGCGATGAAAGCAACAAGAACAAAATTTTAATTTGTTTCCATGTCCGTTACTGATAACACCACATGAAAAATGAACAGAGACTGGGGTGATCTCAAAAACGACACCTAAATGTCAGGTGGAATGTGGTACACTACCCTGCTTAACGGCCAGAGCCTCTCATACTTGACACAGAATCTATCAAAAACAACCTTGGGCAAAGTTTAAATGAACAAGGCAGGTCATTCTTATAAAGCAAGGTGACAATACATAACTCAACATTTGTCATCTTTGACTTTGGCCACCCCCCCCCCACCTTGCAAAATTTATGGTCAACAAGGTTTATGCATCTACTGGGCAAGGGGGTAGCAATGAGCTCACTTGCAGAAGGGGAAAGTGCACTGGAGGGACAGTGAGGTCCAGGGGCTGGGCTTCTCCCAGGAGACCTCCCAAAGGGAATATGCTGGCTCTGGGTGTGGCCCTTGACCCAGCAGCTTCAGAAAACTGAATGGTTCCAAGAATGGATTGATGGGGAATGGAGGAGGGGAAGGGCGTACACTGCCCAACCTTGGACTCTTAAGAATAAAACCATAATGCCAAAAACCTGAGCTTGGACGCTGGAGTGTGGGTTCCACTCTCAAACCTTGGGGGGCCCGTGAGTTCAGGGGCTGGGCCTGCTTCATCAAAGAATCCTCACTCTGCAAACATGTGCCAAATGAGCGATGGAAGGAAACAAGGAACCAAGGAACAAAGAGCAGGAGCCCAGGACACCAAAAGGTGGGGGACACAGAAAGACAGCCCACCATAGCAGAATCAGAAAAGCACAAGAGGGCAGGGTTGGAAGGACTTGACATTGGGGGAGGAGGAGCTCAAGGCCTGCACTGTCCCAAGCAGGTGAGACCTGGAGGAAGAACCATCTGAGGAGACCAAGGGCACCTGTTCTTACTCTGGTCTGCCCCACCCTTAGCTCTGCCCTTTAGAGTCCCTGACAGTTTGGGATTATACCCTTTGCAACAGAGTAAAACACAGGAGTAAAAAACAAACTTAACAAAGACTCAACCACCATTTTCATCACACACTGAGCGACCACAACACAAAGACTGGTCTTCCCTCAGGAGGAAGCTAGGATTCAAATCCACATGCCTTCTTACAAGACGACCAACATGTGGACAATATTCCAGAAAAAAACAGGATGGGGGAAGCTAGCATGAACCTACGGTTTCGGTACTAGCATATCAGATAGCATGCTCTGAAAACTACGTGATTGTGGGCTGCGTGGGTGAACCTGAGGAGAAGGAAGTCTGTCGGGAGACACCCTGTGAATGATGCTGACTTGGGCTGTGCACATGGTGTCAGAGAAGCAGCTTTTGGGAAGGACCAGGTGCAGAAAATAGGACCTCTGTGTACACCAGAGAATATAACCAGCTTGTGATGTCCAGTGAGTCTCACGAGTCAGCTACAGCTTGAACCCTCCCGTGCCCTGCCATTTGTTCCGCTAAATGCACCTGGCTCCTGCTGGACTCCAGTAAACTCTGCTGGATGGCAAACTGCATTAGCTCATAATCTTCATCTTGTAAATGCACATTTCTGCCATTGTCTTGAACGTGGTAAGAGTCTGGAATTTCAAATACAGACTGATCCACCTCAAAGTTTGTGACGTGGGAAGCTGAAACACAAAGGGTAAGAGTCCGGTGCCTGAATCAGCAAAATAAATTTCCACTTCAAACTTAAAATTTTAAATGTATAAAAATTTGTTCAGTTAAAAAACAAAAGGATTAAAATGATTAAGATCTAGGTTTGCTACTATGTGAGAGAGATTTTGAGGAACAATAACCTTGACAGAAAAGTACCAAAATATGGCCTTTTCTTTCGGTCTTTTTCTTTAAGTAATAAAATTAACTCATGGTCATAAAAAAATAAAGATCTCTGTCTCCCTACATCCTTTCTCTTATTTCCAAAGTCCTGAGGTAACCAGTGTTCCCTTGCATGTCTTTTGGGAAATGCGGTGTGTGTATGTGTGTGAATAATACATAGTCACACCAAGGACTCTTTGTAGTTTTCCTTTTTTTATTATGAAATACAGTAAACATATAAAACAAAGTAAGATGTCTATAAACTAAACTAAAAATGATAATAAAATGGGGCACCTGGGTGGCTGTCGGTTGGGCATTCACCTCTTGGTTTTGGCTCAGGTCATGATCTTGGGGTCATGGAATTGAGTCCCGCACCAAGCCCTGAGTCAGGCTCCGCATTCACCATAGAGTCTGCTTGAGATTCTCTCCCCCTGCACCCCCCTCATAGCTTACACATGCTCTCTGTCCCTCTCTCTCAAAAAATAGTAAATGCCTGTGTATCCTTCAACTAGTCCAAGACACAGAACACCATTTTACCCCAGTAAAACAGACAAAACAACTAAAAATATATATATATATCAGTTTTGTTTCTATATACTACCAACGAGTAACTGGAAAGTAAGTAAATAATCCACTTACAGTAGTCTCCAAAAGATAATGTGGATGGATGGCAAGGAAGCCTGAGGAAATTTTGTGAAGTAACAGAAATGCTCTACATCTTGACTGTGGTGGTTCTGTGGGTACACACATTTGTCCAAAAGCACCGAACTGTCACACTTAAAGTGGGAGCATCTTACTGTATATACAGTACACCTCAATAGAGCTGGTTTTTAAAACTATGCTTTTTTTTTTAAATACAAGTGGGGTCATATTCTACAAGTTTTTACACTGACTCTCAAAGAAATCGAACATTTTCATTCAGTGCAGAGATCTATTTCATAAGATACTCCAATGTCAAACTGAATAATTAGTAATTAACTGGATGTGTGCTTTTTTTTTAAACCACAAAGCCCAACTTGTTTTTTTTTTTTTCTTTTTTTACCTGTATCAGCCTGGGTCCCTTCCACATTTTGAGATCCAGTTTCTTCAGCAGTGCTACAGCCATTGACGTTTCCAAATGTAATCCGTGCATTTAAGACATGAAACAAGGGAATTTCTAACAAAATAAAAGCTTTTATAAATAAATTTTACGAGAATATAATAGCCACCATTTACTGAGTGCCTACTATGCTTGTACACATCAAATACATTAACATAACTACCCTTCCCAATATACAGATGGGAGAACTGAGATTCAGAGAGGTTAAGCAGCTTTTCCTAGATCACAGTGAATAAGCGATTGAGCCCGCACTGAAGAATGTGTCAGCAGTATGCAACTATCCGAACTGTAGATTCCTCACAAGTTCGATGTATTGTGTACAGGATTATGCATTCCACTACAGGCCCTAAAACATACTTAGGTATCAAAGATCTTGGTGTCAGAGATCTTCCTCAGAAACAATCTAATTTGATGCCTAAGTTAAGTGTGACATGAAAACAATGAATGTTTTCCATTCATTCCCAATGACACTTCTTTAAGCCATATTAAGCTAAAGGATCATTGTGACCTCCTCCATTATGTGTACTGTCTGCTACTTTTGCCTAAAATGTTCCAGTGCCAGGGTGCCGGGTGGCTGAGTTGGTTAACCATCTGTCTTCAGCTCAGGTCATGATCCTGGGGTCCTGGGATCAAGTCCCACATCTGGTTCCCTGCTCAGCGGGGAGCCTGCTTCTCCCTCTCCCCACCCCACCTCATCCCCCATCCCACTTGTGCTCTCTCTTGCCCTCTATCCAAATAAATAAATAAAATCTTAAAAAAACAAAAAAACATTCCAGTGCCCTGAAGCACATTCTGTCACCCACAGAAATGGCCAGAACCTGCAGGTGCTCCTGTGGTTTAGTAGTCAGTACCTATTTTGACAGGAAATCCAGGTGGGAATTCCAGTTTGATGAAATCTCTCAGCCGTGCAAAATGAGCACTGGTTCGGGCCATGAGATCAATGATGGGAATGACCTGTTCCACAAGAGAGAGCGGAAAGTCCTCACACATCCACAGCGTCGCTTTGAATCTGCAAGATGGACCAAGACAAGAGTGAGGCCAACACCCCCAGACAGGGAAAGTGAATGACTTGCACGCAGCCGGCAAGAAAGCACCAGCCTCCTCCTGAATGCAGCCTTCCCAGCCACCGTACTTCTCTTAATGTGGAGCAGGGAAGGGACTAGACCTGTGCGGAATTCGCACGACCATGAGATCTGGCCATCAGGAGAAATGCCCAGCATGCTGACCTCCCCCTGCAGCAGCTGGAATTGACAGCAAGCGTGAAGGAACTGAGCGCTGGTGGATCTTTCCACTGGATCAGCTGAAGCTTGCTGGTAGTAAAAAGGACAAGGAATTCTTATATCCCATCTCTACTCCATTTGGAAAAGGGCTAATAAGAAGGTGTGCAATCTGCTATTTGCTTTTCTCAGATAAAGTAACTTCCAAATGATGTTTAAAGGAAAGGGACACAAAAATGACAACACGACCCCACGAAACAGCACAACTTCTGAAACAAGAATCCGTGTGGCCGCTGAGCCCCTCTTACTTTTGCGTTCTAATTGTCAGCTCTTTTGGCCTTCCAATGTCCCGGTCCTTCAGATCAAACTCTTCATTAAAGTACTCCTCAGGCGTGATGGCTGTGGGGTTGTTGGCAGTGGCGCATTCCGTGGTGAGGTCCTGCCAAGCCAGAACTCAGGGGAATCAGAAATGCCAATTGGTGCTCACAAGTGGAGACCTATGGCACTCAGCCCCAGAGGTGGATGTATTAACCAGCTACAGATCAGGACATTCTAGTCTTTTCCCTCCCCCCCAACTGCACCCCACACATACTTTTTTTTTTTTTTTTTTAACTAAGTTATGACACAGAACAAGAAAATCCACAAAGGTGTGAGGAAATGACAAAGATAGCCTAACGGGTCTCTCCATGTCAAATGTTTCTCCACTCTCTTTAGCATTTTTATCTCCTGACAGGAAAAAAGAAAAAAGAGAGAAATGGCTGAAAGCACATAAGACCTAGGAGACCTGGAGCTTACATTCCAGCTCTGTCAGGCTCTTGCTCGGGACACTGGAAAGGAAATCTCGGTTTTCTGACCCTCTGACAGCCATTATACCAACTCCACAGAGTTCTCATAAGGATCAAATAAGAAAATGTTTGTTAAGGTGCTCGGTTAAAACAGAAAGTCCTGAATCCTTTCTAAGTTTGATGAGAGAGAAAGCACCTGAATTCCACAGTCATGACCCTCCTCTAAAATCTGTATTTGTAAGACTCATTTATTTCTCTTCCAAAAGAGTATCTCCGATTTCAGCTAGGAGTGCTCTTCAGCCTTGCAGACAGAGAGGCCTGGTCAGGTTCAGTAAATGCCATCACAGCACAGCAAAGTCATGTCCTTTCTTGAACCTGAGAGCTCGCTGCTTCCACTTACCCCTTGAGCACCAAACTGGTGTTCCACAGTTCCCAGCAAAGATTCCAGTGGGTTCCTGTCCGCTAGAGAAGGGAGGAAAAGTTTAATGTCTACTATTATGCCTTACTTGTGCCTACAGAAAGAGATTCTCATCCTATTTTAAAGTTCTGGATCCCAGCTACCTATGTTAGGAAGTCCATTTACGGGCAGGCTGGTAAAATCATCTATAATAACCATCAGCTAATTTATCCCTCATAGGACATTTTTTATTAGGGTCTCTAACCTAGGTTAGCAACAGTTACAAGAACTAGAGTAGAAAGAGTTTGGGTTTAGGAGTGAGCCTGGGGTGGGGGGGGCCACAGAGTTCTCATCTGTCAAACCAGAATCCTAATAACAGCGGTGGTGGTGGAGGCACCCAACAATGACCGTGTGCTTGCCACACTGCGGGAACCTTCCAAAGGTTTACATGAAGCAACTCGTCCCATCCTCCCAAGCACCCCCATTTCACTGCTGAGGAACCTGAGCCCCAGAGGGTAGGTAACTTAAGGCCAAACAACAGGCCACTGGTGGGGCTCGGATATAACCACTGCGCATTGGCAGAGTTTGGGCTCATAGTCCAGGTTCTGTCCAGATCTTCCATGGTACGAGTTTGGACTGACTCGCTCATTCCAGGGAGAACTAGTCTCCAATACCCTTATCTACCTATATGTCAGATCCAGCAACTGTTCTTCAGAACACAAGCACAAACCCTCCTGCATGGCTTTAATTACACTTGAAGCCAACTATAGGTAATATCTTCAAAAAGGGGCCAGACAGGGGCACCTGGGTGACTCAGTAGGTTAAGCCTCTGCCTCTGGCTCAGGTCATGATCTCAGGGTCCTGGGATGGAGTCCCACATCAGGCTCTCTGCTCAGCGGGGAGCCTGCTTCCTCCTCTCTCTCTCTGCCTGCCTCTCTGCCTACTTGTGATATCTCTCTCTCTCTCTCTGTCTCTCTGTTAAATAAATAAATAAATAAAAATCTTAAAAAAAAAAAGAATGGGCCAGACTAAGGAAATTTTTGTAAAAAGGAGTTAGGGTTAGGATGAGCCTGACCTGACCACATTCAACCCAAAATTTAATGAAGCCAACAAAGGCTCTCTCTCTCTAGGCCAAACAAAAGGTGGGGATTACCTTTATATCTCTTTTTCTCTTCCTCAGTCAGATGTTCTGTCCGGATTTTGGTTATCACACTCACATTGTTTACTGTGTAAACCTTGAGAGACGTGTGCAAAAGAAAACAGTGACACAGGGAATCAAAACTCAAAAAATAAGCATAGCAAGAGTAAGAATGCTGAAGCCAAAAAAAGAAAAAAGAAAAAAAAATTCAGCAAAATAAAAATGAGAAATGGTTGACAATCATTAGGATCCTTCAGAGAAAAATATATAAGCTATCAACTTAGAAATGCATCAGCAGTTAATTTGCATCTCTGACAGTTTTAAATACCGAGGAGTGAACAGGGATGGCTGCAGCTTCCCGCCTGCCCTTTGTGTTGCTAAACACCCTCGAACAAAGGTCCTGAAATTTAGGCCTCCCTGCTGGATTCCTATCACGCTATTCCTATCCCAAAGCCGCATCATGGGCTTCTGTACTATCTGTGGTGATCTTATAACAGGACTGACTTAGACAGCCATCTGCTGGGCGGAAGGAAAACGGAACAAACACAAGGTTCTCTATACCCATTAAGACTTAACGAGGAAACTGGCAAGTCACTATTTAAAAAGCTATTCCCTCTACAGACAAAAAATTATCCTCACCACCAGTCAGGGCTCTTGTTCTCAAGGCCGCCTGAGGAATGTGGGGTTCTGGAAGACCAAATCTCATGGTAAGCGGAATTAACTGTATGTGCCCTTCTGCATATATGTGGATTCCTGCACGATCAGAGACTAGAGGAAACCCACACAGCACTGGAGCGACTGTGTCTAAATGCATCTTGCTGGGCATGACGTTAAGTGTCTTTGCACGCTCAGAGGTCACCAGAGGATCCTGCAGCAGCCGACTCCGGCCCTGGGAGCCAGCAATCCCTGCTAGACTGCACAGCTACAGAGAAGCCAGCAAGCAGAGAGCTCCCGCTGACAAGACACCAGAGGCCCCCACTGACAGCAGTCTCCACTCTTGACAACTATATTCTTAATGCACTGATGTCATGCGAGTGGGCTGTCAAGCCACTGGTTACAATTAGGCTGACTACGAAAATGCGAGATTATTAAAGCTACTTTACTTTTCTTTTTTCTTTAAACCCACTCAGGTTATAAAAAAAAGATCAACATGCAGGTCTAAGTCTAATCCTTTCTTTTTGTCCTTAAAGAATTAAAGGAACGGTCGCTCCCCGGGGGGAGAATGGCACCCAGACTCACTTCTCTACAGGGCTGTTTCTCTTTGGCATACCTAGGGGCCTCCTCGGGACATGCTATTCTATTTTCTGAACGTCAGATCAGATACAAATCCAAGTTGAGAGACGCCAAGCAGTACGTTATTCCCCAGAGCATCTCCACGGCAGAGGCATGAAAACAATCTGAACAGACTCCTCATTTGCATAGAAGCTAAATAGCTATATTAAATCTTATTTTAAGAGTTTCCTTTTACCTTTGCTTCGTAACCATTAACAACTTCTGCTTTATCTGTCCTCCAGCCCCAGAATCCGGATTTAGTTCTGATAAAAAGTGAACACCACAAATTTCTACATGTACAAAATGCCATTCAGATTTATCCCTGCCGCCTTTATAGTTTACTTCCCCCAGCTTAAGGTGGTGAAGGCCACTTGGTGAATATGGTCCTACTGTCCACAAAAGGATGCTCTTGGTGACAGATGGCTTACACAGCCCCACCCCCTCCCACAGTTATTAATCAATTCGCCTCACCCCTGGCATAGAAAGCCTCCACTCTTGGCTTCTTTACAGAAACCGCCAGCACAGGGGACAAGCGTGGTGACACTGACTAGACAGCTGTCCTAAAGAAATGAAGATGACCAGCGTCCAAGGGCTCGCCACGAGGTGCAATCTGGGTCTGAGCATTTGTCTGGATCATCGTAACTGTGGGCATGGACGTCAGCAGCTCTGTCCCCATGAGCAGCCGCATCTCAATCGAGGAATTCATAGAACAACAAGGCACAGACCATCCTGCTCCTCCGGAGAGAGGAGGTGGGGCAGGAACTCATCACTGTGGCGAGCTGCTTGGAGAAGCCATTAATGCCTGCAAAATGGCTTGGGAGTCACATGTTTTATCAGGTTTGGTGCAGCAGAGGAAAGGATGTTATGTTAAAAGCAGTTTTTCAGCCCAGGCATTGATTCCAGGTCTGTTGAACTGCTTTTAAAGTAGCCCAGCATTCCAGCGGCCACTACGGCGTTGGTCAAGGTGCCTGAAAACCCAGTTATCCCACTCAACATACTTCTGGGTAAAAATGCATTTAGAGCCAAGAGCGACCAAGAGGCTGTGGTTCATTTTCAAAGCAGCTCATCCTGGGAAATACTACCACTCAGAGGGGAGCCCTGACCAGTCTGGTCCGCCCTTTTGTCTAGGACATCACATCCTAGCTCCACTCCATCATATTCTAGCTCCATGCTGCACTTGGCCCCATGCAGAACTGGCCTGCCTGCCTTCTGCTCTGACCCCAGAGGGAAGTGGGACATCACGCAGGAAGCTCCAGGAACTGGCAGGTGAGCCAACTCACAACAAAGATACAGGCCATTTGCATCTCATGTTTCCAAACGGCTTTATTAGTCCAGATTGGGTATGCAAAGTTTTATACGTACATTACAGCCCATCAGAGAAAGGAGGGACCAGAGCTTCACCTTTCCAATTAGTCCACAATGAAGGAAGCATGACCCATGGACGGAGAGCAAGAAACCCTAAAAGGATTACACCAAATGCTAGCTATCTCCACTTCACATTTCAGAAACAAAACTGAAATCTAGGGGGCAAAGGGTTAGGGTCCACACTGAATCATAAACCCGAGTCCCCTCTTAGTCATCAAGAACTGAAAATCAAGACAGTCCTTTTAGTTAACAGATTCAGTCCTCGGTTCCTTGTCTTTCACCAAGTCACTTGATATTTTGGCCTGGGGAGAACTGTTTCCTGGCACACAGTCTTCCGAGGTACCAAAGGATGACTCAGTCTGTTCTCCTTCATCCTGCGGGCCTGCTGGGGAAACGGAGCTGCGCCGTTCTCCCTGGAGACCGCCATGCTGCTCAGTTCTCTGCATCTGCTTGGCTGGGAGTCCTGGCTGCTCCCCTTCCCTTTCCACTCCCCCTCTGACAGCTTGCTTATTAAATTCAGCGTCCTAATTTAAAACCAAAAGTCTAATAACTCCTTGGCTCTTCATTAACTTTACATGCAGAGGCATCTGAAAATGACAGGGGGACACCAGCTCCCCCTCTGCCATTTTCACCTCTGTCGAGACTGCCATACCAGGGGCCAATGCTGCAGCCTGGAGGCTGCTGAGCCATGCAGAGAAAGGCTCTGAGGGTGGCAGGGAATGTTCTGTTTAAGGCTGGCAGAGCCTAATCTTTCAGGGACGAGACCAACCCAGACTTCAGCCAGAGGGTATATAAGGGAGGCCAAAAACTCATGCAGGAAGCAAGCCTCAGGCTGTCAGGAACAGATCAGAGAGAGGAAAGAGACGGACAAAAACGACTATTGCAAGAGAGCACACCTTCCAGATTCAATCAAACACACACTCCCACCTCCAGTAGGAAGGACGTGCACGCACCATTTCTACCACTCGAGTGGCTCCAAAACTCACTAACTGCATATTTAATTCTGAGCACCACCAAAAAAGCACGTCTTCCAGAAACCCTTTCTCCGAGACCCACTGTCAGTTGCAAAAAAGGAGGTTAGCTTGAACCTTCTGAAAACCTAGTAACCATATGACCATCAGATGTGCCTTAGTCCTCCACACAAATGGAACGTGCCCTCATATACCATCTACCTTCAGCCAGTAATCAGCACGATCTTTGTAAATTACACTTAAGAGCACTGACTCTACCAACTCTGCCAGTGAACTAAAGGGAACAGCAGCTCTTCTCATGACATCTTAGGATCATGGGGACTTTAGCAGCATATCTCAAGATTCACTCCTTTCTTTCTTTCAAGGACACCGAAATCCGGAGAGACCAAGCCACCTCCCCAAAGCCACATAGTCATTCAGGGGCCCTGCCAGTGGCACTCAGTTCTTCTCACCCCCATCTCCACAGCTGGGCTACAGCAGGGAGGGCAGGCTCCTCTCTTCCCAGCTTTCCCAACAGAACCCTAGCTGAAGGTGTCTGCAGAGGTGTGTGCCAAGCCTCAGGGGTCTGCCCCAAACCCTCCCAGGTAAAGTCACAGTCAGTCCCTAGTAGATAGCTATACCTGGCAAGGCTGGTGATGGGGCACTGACCACGCCTCACAGGGGTACCACTACCCAAGCAGCAGTGGTATCAGGACACCACACAGGCTGACACTTGGGTTTTCTCTTCTGCTACTAACGGATGCCCTAATTCCGTTGCTCTATCTAAATTCAAAGAAAGGGGCATTTCACTCTTATACTTGACTCATCAGAAAATTCTCAGTCTTACAAACTAATTTTATGGAAACAAAGAAAAGAAAAAGAGAGGAAAGGTTGTATATTCACTAAAAGTAAAGAAAGCCTAAATCCAGGATAATATATGTCCATGTTATCTCAGGTTGTGCTGCTTTGGATTACAGAGAGCTGGATGTGACATCCTAGGCAAACACTCAGGGCTCTCGCAGACTCCCTCAGCTCAATGTGTTTGGAGGTAAAAACACTCAGGCCAACAGCTCTGACAGCCTCTGCTTCCCCTACACTCAAAAGTTCTCCATGCCTCTGCCCGGTCCAGAGGCAGATGACCAGTTCTCGTCCTGGTTAACCAAGGTACAAACCTCTCCAGAAGTTTCTTCTGGTAGAATCTGGAAAAGAACCGAAAACTCCTCCAGACTTTTTCTCTAAACTCTCAGGCCTCACAGGGGGAAAGGGCCACATTAAACTATACAGTAAGTGTGAATCTGACTAATATCAGTACAACCACAATCAATACTGGGTCAATTCTAGCTTCCAGAAACTCAAAGCTCCATGGTTTGGGACTAGGGAGTCTTATGGATCCCCAAACACCAAAACAAAAAATTCAAATAAAATCCATTAGAAAGGGCCCATAAAAGAATATGAAGACATTTCTCCAAGATGTAACCAATGTGCTGTAAAAATGATCTATGAAAGAGGAGGTCAGCTATGGCTTTTACTTGGTTAGAACAGAAAGCAATGTTAAAACCCACTACTGTTTATTATGCCGGATTAGAAAAATCCCAATCCACCCATAATTTCCGATTCATATCTACATGCTACTAAAGATAGCCGTAAAGGGATTAGATGTTAAAATGCAGAACCAAAATGCGTACCTTTCAAAAGCAATATTTTTAGTATCGAGGCTGGTGTTAATGACTGGGCTTGTGAGCCGCCTCTCAACTTCCCTGCCTTTTGGCTTCATCAAGTCCAGAGTGAGGCGCTCCATTTCCTGGGAAAGGTCAAAGTGTTCAGTGGTGACCACTCTGTCATCATGGTTGACTTCCATCAGCTCCGCCCGGTTGTCTGTTAATGGAAACAACAGCATAACCAAGCGCCAGGCAAAGAAGACACAAAAACAAGGAAGCCTCAAAAGTTAAAATGCATCATCTCACATTTTTCCCCTCAAGTGCTATCAGATAAAACCTAAAGACTATTGATTATTCACTACATACTTACATGGGGATTATCTGGCCAGTTTCCACAGCCCATAGGCCATCTTCCTCAGAACTGCAGGCATTAAAAACATTTTGCCTTTTTCATTGGCAACACATCTGTGCACTTTTTAAAATATACAACTTACAAATATACAACTTACATAACTAATGTAAATTGTTTATGTATCATGCTGGGCTGGCAATACAATTTTTCTCACCCTCCATCAGGAGGATTACACCTGCCTGTTGAGGGAATATAGGGAGATACAAGACAGTCTCCCACTCAATATTCAGGAATGTGGGACAGACGCATGTCAAAACTGTAACAGTATTGGGTGGTAAATGATATGGGGAAGAGAATCAAGAGAACTACCCAAAAAAGATATAAAATTGAGGAATCAAGAGCTGTAAAGTTAACAAGAATAACCAAAAAAGAAAAAAAAAAAAAAAAAAAAGCCCCAGACAGGGTCAGATAAAGTATAGGAATGTAAACACATTTTGATGGTCAAAAAGCAGTCTGTAACTTAGCATGAGCAGTGATTATGAAAACAGAACAGAATCACTCACCTTCTCCCTTAAATATAAAACTACGCCTCCCTCTTATCCAACTCATGTTCTCAAATCCCAGCAATGTGATATCCACACGCAGCTTGGCACCACTTTTCCAAATGCGACACACATCGTTCGGGCATATTCTGGAAACCAAGGGCACTAGAGAAGAGAAACGTACTACTGAGGAGAAACCTGAGGGCCAAGCAGAACATGTAGGCCCAGGAAATCTGGATTGGGACTTTAATAAAAGGAAAGCAGTGGCTGGACAGTGACTGTCAGACAGAACTGGGCTTGGCTCCCACACTGAGGATCCAGGTGGTCACTTTTAAAAAACAGACCTTCTGTTCTATAGCTCTTTATAAAAGTGCAGGTGTATGTCTTACCCAGAGAAGACCCTGAATGAATCTCCCAGAGGTGTTTTCAATCCCAAAACTGAACGTCTCTCTGTGACCGTCACCACCATCAGGGCTATACAGCGTGTCCACCTGGCCTTCTCGCTCACATACGCTGCTCTGACCATGTGGCTGTGGCCTGCCACATTGCCACATCCACCCTTCAAAATATCAGACCTAACACAGCTAAGATCTGTGGCTGCTTCGGCATTGAAAAGAACTTGTAAGGTTTCCAGAAGAACCTGAAGTTCTCTTCTGTTACATACTTTTTACTTCATTTAAATGTTTCATTACAAATATGACTTTTTGCCTGACAGAAAAGTCGGTGCGAAACAGCTGGGAACCTGGGAATTAAGAGCTGTCATTAACTGATCTACAAGAAATAAAAGTGGAACATCTATGAAAATTACTGTCAGTCAACTTGCCTTACATAAGATTTTAGAGAAATACATCCATTTTGTAAAAACATTAAGCTATCCCAACATTTGTCTCATCTTCTTCCATAGAATAACAAGTTTAAATGAAGCAAGTTGAACCACATAAGGAAATGAGTAATAAATTATGGCAAATCTACTTACTAAAATTTTAGCCATTTAAAAAACCTAATAATATGGATAGGTATCAGCTCTAAGTGACAAGAAAAGGAGACAAAATTGTCTATATATTATCTTTACAGATGCTCAAGAGAAAAATCCCTATGTGTGGAGGAGAAAACTAGAAGGAAAATATCCAAAAGCATTAACAGTAATTGCAATTAAGTGGGACTATAGGTGGCTGTTTTTTCTTACTCTTTCCTACACATTTCTTAGATTAAAAAAAATAATAATACATTCAGGACGCCTGGGTGGCTCAGTCGTTAAGTGTCTGCCTTCAGCTCAGATCATGATCCCAGGGTCCTGGGATCAAGCCCCGCATCGGGCTCCCTGCTCAGCGGGAAGCCACTTCTCCCTCTGCTACTCCCCCTGCTTGTGTTCCCTCTCTCACTGTGTCTCTCTCTGTCAAAATATAAATAATTAAAAAAAAAAAAAAACATTGTTTTTATAAAGGAAAAGTAAATGTATATTCAGGCTCAATAATTTTGGAAACAAATAAAATACAAACCCAGAGCCACTCACCCCAGCTGGTGAATTCCCATTTCATCTGCACATAGAAATCTGGAGCCTGAAGGACAAAGGTTTAAAGTAAATGATCCTTAGCACTATTAACTGAACACAAACATGGTAAGGGTTAATGAGGTTTTAAGTTTGGGGGTTTAAGTTTAGGTGGGGAGGAGGAGAGAACACAGAAAATAAGAAACATAAAATGCAAACCCATCAAAGTAAATGCTTATTTTATATGTAGGCTGTTATTTTATCTTGATATAAAATATGTCTAGACAGTTAATAAAGTTAACTAAGAGCAACAAGGTTAGAGAGGGATAAAATCAAATCTGATTTAGGACTCAGTCTGGTTCCTAACAGTAGCAGAAAGATGAGCCTAGAAGATGGGCCTAGGCACCACCATGCAATGTGGGTAACAGGCTATTCTGAACAAAGAAAAAGGAACATCAATTCCATCTATTCTATCTGCCTGACTGCAACAGGTTTTGTGTGCTGGGAAGGGCTTCATATTTACTGGACCTCCAAACCAGAGGAGGCTGCCAGACATCAGCTCTCCAAGAAGTTCATGTTCCCTCCAGTTAATAGACTTCTGCCCTCATTTTCCTCTTAAACTTTGAGAATTTGGCTTTATAAAATTTTACACCACCAGAGAAGTCCTGTTTAGGATGACTTTCTGATCTGCCCTGAATTCTTACAGAAGGTTCTTGGAGAGCTTACTTAAGAAATCCAACAGTTACCATCCAAGAAGAGAAATGCTAGAAATTCCAGGTGTTGCTCTGTTCCCCCTCTGTCCACAATGGCTTTGTCGTGTTTTTTACAGAAGCAATAGAAAGGAAGACCAAGAATCTACCCTAGAGTAAAACCAGGATTCCAGTGATGCGCAAAGGCTCTCCGAGGGGCAGCAGACAAGGCGGGGGTGGGGGGGGGGCTTGTTTTAAAGAGCCAATGTTAAAAGACAAAATGTCAGCAACATCTGGTGCCACTGGGCACACAGGTCATTCACAGGCTCTGTCTAACTTCAAGCAGAGAACACAACCCAATGCAGGTTACTGGTATGGCTCAGTACAGGTTAAAAAACAGAAAGTCCTTTACATGGCATTTTTAAAATGAAGAGTGACCCCACATTAAGTCAGTTTCTGGTTCGCCAAGTGGGCGAGTGTGTTTTTAGTTCCTCCTCCAGTAAGCTAGACAAGAAAACAAGAAATCCCCTTGATCTTTTGCACACTCACACACAACGCAGCTTAAAAACAATGCAGACAACTATTTCATATTTCATGGAAGGTTTTGTGTACTCTGTGAAAAATGAGTAACTCCAGGAACAATTTTGCTTGAGTGTCAGAGAAATACATTTTTTAAAAAGTGTGCTCAGATAATGAGCAGTGATTGTCTTACAGCAAAGCTGTTCCTTTTCTCAACACAGCTGTTAATTTTTCTCAAGAAACATGTTGACTAAAGTTGTAAAGTGGATTTATCTAGCAAATATCTTTGGAGATATTTTGGGAAGCTCCCTTATGTGCTTAAGAATAAATGACACGGAAATTGAAGCACTAATACTTTCTTGTCTCCCACAGCTCTGAGAACATTCCATGACTGGCTCCTAAGATGGTTCTTGCAGGTAACAGACACTTTCTGGAGAAGGGCAACCATGATGCAAAACAGTCCATGAGCCTAGAAGTAAATTTTCACAAAAATGACCTCCAAGTGTCACAGAGCCCATACACTTTAATTCACAGATAACGGTCTTTACGGGCCCAAAGCCAATGGCTGTAAATAAATTAAGCCAATGGACCGGAAGTCACAAAATGCTAATGCCTAGAGTCAACAAGTGGCAAGAAGAAGGTGCATACACACTTCAGAGCCTCAAGAGGCCTTGGAAATCCCTGTACAGTAACCAATGCTCATCACAGTTTCCTCAAGATGACCTATGCTCAGGGGCACCTTGCAGGGGCTCAGTTGGGTAAGTATCCAACTCTTGATTTCAGCTCAGGTCATGATCTCCCGGTCGTGAGATCGAGCCCTGTCTCAGGCTTCATACTGGGTGGGGAGCCTGCTAAAGATTCTGTCTCCCTCTGCCCTTCCCACCCCCCGCCCCCACTCACATGTGCGCACACACTTTCTCTCTCAAAAAAAAGATGACCAATGCTTAGAATGCCACTGTTAAGAAAACAGTTACCTAGACAAATTGCTTCATGTCCATTTGTGTTCAGTTACAACTCTTGAACCGCACTTAGAAGGGTAGGTCTAGTGATGGAGAAACAAAATCTGTGAAAGACCTCATACATTTAATAGATGAGGGATAATGCCCTTTGGTACTAAATATACCGTATTTACCATTCATTACACTTGTGGGAAGGTACACGTGGACGTCTAACTGTGTCTCTCCAGCTATGTTGTCAGCTTTTAACGCAAATTATGGCATTGCCACATTTTTATGGATACCTCAAGAATCTTCTGGAGCAACTCAGGAACTCCTTCAAGGGCCATGGATGTGTTGTGGTAGTCCCGATGCTGAAGAACAGTATACACCATCTCGGGGTCACCGGTGCTCACAGCCTCGTGTAAAACTGAAAACCAAAATGGTGAAAACTTCATCATCCAGTAGTCTCATACTCTGACAGACTCCTAAGCTAGTTCGAAGAGAGTCTACAGATCAAAGACAAACATTTTCTTCAAAGAGCAAGAGAGGCTACAGCCCCACCTTACTTTTACAACCATGACTGCTTATCGCTAGCTCTTAACTGAGTGAAAAGAAAATACAGGGCTTGTAGCCTCTTGAACAAGCCGACTTCCATCCTCCCCCTGCACCCCCTCTCTTACCACTGGTTCTGAAATCCTGACAGTGTCTTCAGAGAGCAGGCTTTACCTGTGTGATCACACAACTGGGGTTATATGTGGATCGGGTAGGTAGGGCTTATGTGTATCTTTGCTCAGCCAACACAGAATTACTCTGACCAACAGAGAGCTTGCAAGCAAGTGAAATGCCAGGATATCCCCGGAAGCAGCCATAATTTCGTTTTCATTTTGCCTATCCCAACAGATTCACTGGAGTTACCATCACATTCCTCAGGAGGAATCTGGCCTCCACACTCATGTGCGATGGAAGGGTTTGCACTGAGAGCTGCTTTCTGGATAGGAGTCGCCCTCCACTGAGGGCTTCTGGCCCAGGACACAGTTCGGACCATTGTGCCGCAGGTCTCTGAGGCCCGCATCTCCTCGCCCCGGCCCCTACTCCCAAGAGAGAAAGAGTCTTAATATAAAGATAACTTAAGGGCAATTATCATTGAGACTCGCCTTTATTCAGAAAGAGACACCGAAACAAAAGGCTTTCAGATATTTTCAAAATATACTTGCCTGTCCATCCCTCACGATTTTCTTTCGTAACGTCTGCTTTATGTCGGAGCAAGACTCTAGCAGATTCCAAATGTCCCAAAGAAACAGCAAGGTGCAATAAGGTTCGACCTCGTGGATCCAGAGCCTCCACATTCTGTGAAGTAAACACTGGCATTTATATAACTGTATATATTACATCAAAATAAAGAAATGTGTGAGAGATAAAATTTAGTATAAAATGGAAAATTGCACGTTACAGCAGTGTGTGGAAGAAAGAATGCTTGCATGCAGGAGTGGCTGAAATATTAATTTGAGACTATAATAAAGATGATGGTTACTGAGTTCCTTTTTCTATAAAGTGAAGCACCTAATAAATAAACGCTGGCCGTAGGCCTCGGATCATCAGGCACGTCTTATGCCCTCCACAGCACTCAAATGAAGACTAAATAAAGCCGGGGCTTTAATGAATGCAACCAGCCCATGACACAGAACATGGGGGATTTCTCAAGCATGTATCAGGTCTAGAACAGGAAGTAGAGGACTTTAACCAAACGGAAAGCACAGAAGAGAACTGGGGTCAGACTAAAACTACATTCTCTAGCTGGGTTCCCACCAGAACGCCGCTCTCATTGCTCTGTATGGAGTTCCAAGTACCCTGAAGCAGCAGCATCCACAGGTCCTACAATGAGCACGATTTGCCAGACAGGGACGTGGACATATTTATAGGTAAATGGGGGAAGAGACTCATGCCACTGTTGTCCATTTCCCCTCAAAGGTTTTCTTCCCCATGCTAGACACAGCCATCTGGCTTCTACTCTTCATTCCTATTCCCGCCCTCCTTCCCCCAACCTGCGCTGGGTGGAGAGCCAAGTGGCTGTTTCGCTGGTTTAAACTCAGTCGGAATGACCGAAGGCTGCCTTCCAAACATGGCTCTGAACGTTCTTCCAAGGACACAATAAACCACCATGGGACTTCTAGGATGTAAAACGTTTTAAGTGCTCAACTATTTCTCAGGAAATGTGCTTTTATCTTGATTTGAGATGCTAGTTGTTGTGCAGGCATTAACTGCAGCCTCCAAAGATAACCAGAATGTTCCACTTACTGGCCACATGGAGAAAGGTAAGCAGAACTAAACAGCTACTGCCCAACAGCTACTGAACCTCCCTGTTCTGCAAAGGGCATCATGGCTACCGTGCAGTGAAGACAGGAACTGTTCTCGAGGAATGACAGCAGTGGCCGAAGACATTCTGCAAAGCAAGCACACGTCCTCCTGGACCAATCCCAGGCATCAGCGTTCTCTCCAGCGCTGGAATACCAACACATCTCCTGGAATGGGGCCCACAGCACCTCCCAGGATTCCCTGGCTTTCCCCAAGGGCATGGCTTGTCCCTCTCACCAGAGACACTGATCTTCTTCCAAAGGGCTGGATCCAAGTCTCATATCCCATATTCCCTAACTTCCACAACCCTGGTCTCTAATTTGCATTAAACCATTATTTTTTAAAAAGTAATCTAGCTAAAGATTTTTACCTGAGTTGCAGTTTAGCAGGAGAGACATAATTAACAAGTTCATTACCTCTTACATATCTGTTATATAAACTGTTTCCTCACCTAACAAGTTCAGTCTATGGGAAAGGTGCTGGGTTTTAGCACACTGCCTGAGAGAGGGGCGATGTTTAATGATATTTGTCAAACAAAAGGGCAAATTCTATTTTATGCAATTCACACCCCAGAACAAAACTAACATCTTGGACCAAGGACTGATACTCAAGCTCCTGGGCAACCACTAGATATGATGTGTAAAATCAAAGCCAAATTCATTAAGTTCTTGACTTTGTCCTATTTTGGACCATAGGAAAAAAACTTACGTACGAGCCAGACAGCAGCAACATTTTGTGTTGCTGACTGTAGCCCTTCGGAGCCTCCTGTGCCTCTTTCTCATGTGAGAATCATGTGAAAAGAGAGAAGGAAGGAAGAATATTATGGGGACTGGGATTAAAGACTGCGGATGATTGAAGTGGAAATTAGCAAAACAGAGGACAGCAAATCAATACAGAAAAAAAAAAAAAACAATAAAACTGAAAATTGGTTCTTGGTAAATATCAAAAAAATTGACAAACTTTCAGCTAGATTGACCAGGAAAGAAAGAGAGAAGACTCCAGTTACCAAAAGCAGGAATGAAAGAAGGGATGTCTCTACCAACTCTACAGAAATACAGAGTATTTAAAAGGAATACTATGTGGGGCGCCTGGGTGGCTCAGTGGGTTAAGCCTCTTCCTTCAGCTCAGGTCATGATTTCAGAGTCCTGGGATCAAGCCCCGCATCGGGCTCTCTGCTCAGCAGGGAGCCTGCTTCCCCTTCTCTCTCTGCCTGCCTCTCTGCCTACTTGTGATCTCTCTGTCAAATAAATAAATAAAACCTTAAAAAATAAAAAATAAAAGGAATACTATAAACAACTGTATGCCAGCAGATTAGAGGCTTAAATGAAAGGCACATATTCCTAGACAGATACAAACCGGCAAAACTGACTTAAAAAACAGAAAATCTGAATAATTTGTAACAAGTAAAGAGACTGAATCAGTAATGTTTGAACTTTAAAAAAGCTCAGGCCCAGATGGCTTTGCCGGTGAATTCTGCCAAACATTCAAAGAATTAATACCAATTCTTCACAAATCCACCCCCCCCCCCAAAAAATAGAAGATAAAGGAAAACTTTCCAACTCATTTTATGAGCCCGGTTTATCCTGATAATAAATACACTGCCAAAGAAAGAAAACCACAGACCAATACCTCTAATGAATATAGATGCAAAATCCTCAACAATATAGTAGCAAAACAAATTTAGCAATACACAGAAAGGTTATTAAACACCAAAACCAAGTGAGATTTATCCCAAATGCAAAAGTGGTTTAACACCTGATAATTAATCAAATTAATAGAATAAAATTTTAAAAACACATGACCATCTCAATAGATGCACATGGTCTGAATGTAGTCTGCATTCTTATGTCAAAATGCTAACCCTTCAAAGATGATGGTATTAGAAGTGGGGCCTTTGTGGGGGGTGCTTAGGTCGTGAGTGTGGGGCCCTCATGAATGGAATTAGTGCCTTAATAAAAGAGGCCAGAGAGTTTGCTAGCCCCACTTCCACCATGTGAGGACACAGCTGGAAAGATCCTGCTATGAACGAGGAAGAGAGCCCTCTCCAGCCACCACACTAAATCTGCCAGCACCATTATCTTGGACTGAGAGCCTCCTGAACTTCAGGAAGTAAGTTTCTATTGTTTATCAACTACCCTCTCTATGGTATTTTGTTACAGTGGCCCAAACACGGCTAAAACAATGCAGAAAAAGCATTTAACAAAATCCAACACCCCTTCATGATACCAAATAAAAATAAAAAAAAAACAAGAAGCACTCAACAAACTAGAAATAGAAGGGAATTTCCTCAAAGAGCATCCCATTATGAACACCACAGCTAACGTTATCTTAGCAGTAAAAGACTGGATGTTTTCCCCCTAAGATAAGGAACAAGCCAAGTACATTCTCTTTTGTCGCTTCTATTCAATACTGTACTAGATGTTCTAACCAGGGCAATAAGGCAAGAAAAAGAAAGAAAAGGCATCCAGATTAGAAAGGAAGAAGTAAAATGATTTCTATTCATATTTTACATTATTTTATACACAGAAAATCCTGAGGTATCCACTAAAAGGTTAGAACTAATGAAGGAGTTCAGCACGATTGGAGGATACAAGATCAATACACAAAAACCAATTATATTTCTCAGAGAACAACCTAGTGGTTGCTAGCGGGGAGGTGAATGGAGAGATGGGTAAGATAGATAAAGGGGATTAAGAGATACAAACTTACAGTTATAAAATAAGTAAGGCACAAAGATGAAAAGTACAGTATAGGGAATACAGTCAATAATATTGTAATAACGTTGTTTGGTGACAGGTAGTGACTACACTATCACGGTGAGTGCTGAAAAATGTATAGAACTGTCAAATCAATATGTTGTACACCTGAAACTAATAGAACATTGTATGTTAATTATACTTCCATTTTGAAAAACGAAACAAAATCAATTGTATCTCTATGCACTTGTAACACAACTCAAAATGAAATTATGAAAACGATTCCATTTACAATAGCATCAAAAAGAATAAAATATTTAGGAATAAATAAAAGTACAAAACATACAATCTGAAAACTATAAAGCATTGTTTAAAGAATTTAAGATCTAGATAAAGGGAAAAACATCTATGCTCATGGTTCAGAAGACTTAATATTCAAGATGTTAATACTAGACGAGCCTGGGTGGGTTAAAGCCTCTGCCTTCGGCTTGGGTCATGATCCCAGGGTCCTGGGATCGAGCCCCGCATCATGGGCTCTTTGCTTGGCAGGGAGCCTGCTTCCTCCCCTCTCTCTGTCTGCTTCTCTGCCTACTTGTGATCTCTGTCAAATATATAAATTTAAAAAAAAAAAATCTTAAAAAAAAAAAAAAAGATGTTAATACTCCCCAAACTGAGGGCACCTGGGTGGCCTAGTCAGTTAGGTGTCTGCCTTTGGCTCAGGTCATGATCCCAGGGTCCTGGGATAGAGTCCGCATTTGGCTCCCTGCTCAACAGGGAGTCTGCATCTCCCTCTCTTCTGCCCCACCCCCCTCCTCATGCTCTCTTTCTCTCAAATAAATAAATAAAATCTTAAAAAAAAAAAAAAGTACTCCCCAAACTGAGCTACAGAGTCAATGCACCACCTATCAAAATTCCAGCTGACTTTTTGTAAAGATTGACTAGCTGATCCTAAAATTCTTAAGGAAGTGCAAGGAGACCAGCATAGCCAAAACCATCTGGAAAAGAGCAAAGTTTGAAGACTCACATTTACCAAATTCAAAATTTAACTGTGTACAAAGCTACAGCAATCAAGAGTGTGGTATTGGCAGAAAGGCAGAATCAACAGAATACAATTTAAAGTCCAGAAATAAACTTACACATTTATGGTCAATTAGTTTTCAGCAAGGGTGCCAAAATAATTCAGTGGGGAAAGAATAATCTTTTCAGCAAATGGTGCTTGAACAACTGGATATCCGCATGCAAAAGAATGAAGTTTTATATATATGATACATGAAAATTAGCTGTAAATTGATCATAAAC